CCCTCTTATTTTGGATATGGTAGAATCTCATTCCTTTTATTTTGTTCTGATTGCTATTGAGAAAAATATCCCATCAGACAAATTTTCCAGTAATTTTGAAAAGGAAGGGGGCTCCACATTTTTTCTCAAACTCTTACACCTAATAACAGCTACCATTTGTTGAGAGACTGTTAGAGATTAGGCACTGCACTGTGCCAAGCATTTTAAATATATCATCTCCAAGCACGCAACCCACACATGATTACTCCCACTCTACAGATGAAAAGCTCAAAGAGGAGAGAGAAATTGTCCACAGCCACGCAGTTCCCAATAGCATAGTCAGAATCTGAACTCAGGCTCTCCCTGAGCCCACAGTTCTCCTATTACTCTATTCCACACTGCCCATTCACATATGGGAATCTTACAGGCGTACTCAAATGTGAACTCCAGAGAAAATCAATGACAAAATATATTCCTTTCTCTTACTATTTTTCTTTAAACGCAAAGTTTTTAATGTAAAATACCATTAATGAAATCCATGACAATTGGACATGATTCTTAAATGCTGCCACATAAAAAAATGAAATATGATTACTACTTAATCTTGAAAATGCAAGAATAAACATGGCCTGTTCACTGGATAAAGCTTTTTCCACCGAACATGCTAAGACAGTTATAAGTCAAATTAATGTTTCATTTTAATATAATGTTCTGAAATCAATTTTTCCATTAGTAATTATTACACAGTATTTTTTAAATGTTTGTTTNCACAAACTTGTAGGTCAACTAAATTCAATGTGAAAAAAAGACAACTAATTTTTTAAATACAATTAATACCACATGTAAACTTTCAATTAATGTCACATTCAGCAATTACAGTAAAACCTTGGATTGCGAGTAACTTGGTTTGTGAGTGTTCCACAAGACGAGCAAACATTTCTAATACATTTTAACTTGGTAAATGAGCGATGTGTTGCAATATGAGTAGTTTGCTTCCGGAACGAATTACACTCGCAAACCAAGGTATTACTGTATAGTATCACTGCAATACAAGAAGACCAATTAAAATCCCATTTTAAACTTTTGTATAAACATCCTAAATAAAAACAGTGTCTCAATTTCTAAAAAGTATGATGATTCTTTAAGGTAATAAAAAATGTCCAAATTTCAAGAAAAAAAGATTTAAAACAATCAAAATTTGATCAAATAAATAAGATTGCTCCACTACCATCAAGCGATATAAAACAAGTAAAGAAAAAATAGTGGCCAGTTCTACTTGAAAGATATGTTTCCTGGTTATATCCAAATCAACTTTTTTTTACTTTTTACAAGTTAAACTGCTTTAAAAACAAGCTTTAAAAGTTTTTATTATTTTGGTACCTAAACTGGCATTTAGTACACATCAGATGCTCAGTATTAGTCTGCTGCTTGAGTGAATTTTGCTTCTAAATATATTTTTAATCAAGAATAGCCACATATCAACCTAAATAAACTCTTCAGTTGATTTTTAAAAAATAGAAGAAAGTAAAGACTTAATACTGTACTATGTATAAACGAAAGACGGCAAGTGAACTCTTTTGGAAAAGACTAGATTAGTTCTATTTCCCAGCTGTCACCACTTGGACAGATGGCAAAGACTAAAGGTAATTTAGTCAGAATTAAGTAAGTACAATTAGCAAATTGATAGTGATATAAAAGATTAAGACTGTCATTTGATATAGGAGGTGTCAAAGAAGCCATGTGTTTTCTTCGTTCAAAAATAATGAAGAGTCCCATCTTTATAACAGGAGATCTACAGTGAGATAATTTATCTCCATCTCCAGCCAACAAAGGAATCTACAACTAGGTCATATTAAAATAAAACCTCTCATGTGCCCAATGAGTAATTATAATTAAAACATACTAGTTAAGTATCCATCTGAATGATTTGGTGCAAACCATATTTACATTAAAAGCATTATCTCTCATTTTTTAATATTCTGAATTTCTAAGGTAAGGTCTCTCCTTAGGGTTTCATGAAATATTTCAACTATTTAGGCTTTATAATCAGCATTTTAGTGTTCTTGGTATTTCCTCAGGTACTGTTTATGTTATTCAAGTTTTTAATTTCAATATATGTTTTTTACAGGCTGCCTTAAATTCTTTGCAGAACAATGTAGAAAGTGAACTAAACAGATCTATAGACATACACCAAAAATAAAAACCCAAAAAAATAATGTTTTTGAAAAAATTTGGACATTTTTAAGTCTGAAAGATATTAGACAATCCTCTGAGTTTATTATTTCATTCCACAAATATTTACCAAGTGCCAACTATGTACCATGCGTGTTCCTGGAGTTAGAGCAGTATATTAAAAAAAAAAATCCTTATCCTCACAGAGCTCACACTTTATTCAACAAACTCAATCAAATATGATTTCCTGTTATAAAATTTCAAGCTTGACAAAATCAAACAGTAGCATGTAAAATAATTATCCCCATGAAAACTTAAACCATAGATAAAATACTTACATAAATTCTGTCTTTACTATATCGAACTTTGATATTATGGAGGAGTGTGGCTTCATTTAAATACATTAGTGAACCTGAGACATAAAACATATAAATCATTAGATATTTGAAGGAAAAAAGTAAAATAACACAACACTATCTTAATCTGAATCGCTTTGATCCAAGCTAAAATTCACCTGTTAGATTTAATCCCATCTTTTTAAAACTATGGTACATGTAAAACCCAAGAGGCCAATTTAAAATGTATCCAGTTTATAAGTGTGTCACAGTGATATTTATAAACAATGAATTTCCAACCAGGTAAGTACATCTAGTGAGTACCAGGAGAGTACACATTAATGAAATCTGGTTAAAAAGTTGAGTACAATTCAAGTGGAAAGAAAGTACTAGCTTAAATAGTGCTGATTTTAATACACTTTGGTACAACAAAGGGATGATACTAATCCAATCTGACACTCAGAATTTTATAGAAAAAACACAAAAGATAAAATTTTAGAATGGGACGGGACCATTAGACCATTCAGCCAGTGCCTCACAACTGATATGACAAAATAAGAATCCTGGAGAAATTATACACTTGACCCTTAAACAACTTGGAGGTTAGGAGCGCCGACCACTCTCGCAATTGAAAATCTGCATATATCTTATGTCATCTCTCTGCATACTCGAATTCCCAACCACAGATTGAAAATACATATATGTCTTAACCCAGCTAATTAATATCAGAAACAGGGTAGAAATCTTGTTTTTCTGATGTTTGTTCCACAATATGTCAGAATACACATACATTTATACGCGCGCGCGCGCGCACACACACACACACACACACACACACACACACACACTCACACTCTGACATATTCTATTCTTCCAGCCTAATCTACTCTCCCAGCCCTCCAATCATCTGAGCTTCATTTCTACCACATGCTAGAGTAGACAAAGCCACTCTTCTTCCCAATCACTTTGTTTCTAATATTAGCACCACCATTTTTTCAGTCATCCAGACTGCAAACCTCACAATCATCTTTTCTCTCCCTCCTTGCTCTAAACTAGTTTCCAACTCTTTATACCATATAATAAAGTGGGAAGCACAGTACCAGACTCAGGGTAGGCACTCAAAATTAGCATAATCTGAATCTCTGAAATGTCTCTCCTTTCTTTCCATTTCCACTGCCCCAATCCCAGTTTAGGTCACATTACCTTGTTTGTAATCATAGTAGCCTCTTAATTGTCTATTGCATCAGTCTCTCTCCCGCCTACTCTAGACTGCTCAGCACATTAACTAAACTAGAGGCCTTAATTAAATTTCTCTCCTCTTCAAAAAACATCGGTAGGTCTCCATCAACTACCAAAGTTTATATTCACATGTGGTATTCAAGGCCCTTATTAAATCTGCATTTAACTGATCTTTTCATATCATTTTCCACAATTCCCTTTAATGTGGTCTAACATATGGGCAGACTAAACTATTTATCAAACCCAAATATCATTCATCCATTGGACTCCACCTCTACATCTGTAGGTGTTAAAAATGTATCTATCCTTGAAGGTCAGTTCAAAGATTATCTCACAAATGATACTTCCACACATCACCACCAGTAGAATTACTGGGTTGTCAGAAAAGTCATGACGTATTTTTTCTGGTTTTCATGGCAAAAATGCATCATGACTTTTCCGACAACCCAATACTTTCTTTGTACTTTCTTTATGGTGCTTACCAAGGACTGCCAGTGTTGCGATTATAATATTATACTTATATATCTGGTTTTGGCTACTAAACCAGATCTTTGAGAACAGGACCATGCCTGATTCATTTGCTTGTTTGCTTGATCCCTCATTGGACTTGTATATATTCCTAAACTGTATGTATGTCTAACATACAATTCAACACCTAACCAATTCTGTCAAAAAAGAGCTTCCTGCTATACCTATCTCAAAGACTGCCCATGTTTCTACACTCATCTGTAG